ATGTATACACAGAAAGTCTCAACCATCAATCGTTGCTATAAAACCAAGAAATAATACTAACCCCCACTCGTTTCTAAATGGAAAAAAATAAATTCAAACCACCAAAAGTAAACAGGATAGAACCCCACTACCGTCCAGATGAAGGTAGATTGTACCACGCACCACACGTATGTACAGTCTAACCTGCTCTAACGACCTTACACCTGTCTAAGACACTCCACCGTACAAACGACCATTTCCCCCTAGCATTTTTTTCTATAATATTATATGACAATTTCCAACCTGTCCACCTAAGACTACTTTTCTCCTCGAAAGGGGAGACCATCTTGGGCAATTGGGACTTCACCTGTATGCGTTTTTGGTGGCCTCTTCAACAAAGGGAGACCAATTTGGACCTCTTCCCCTTGGCGTTGTATCTATATCGCAATCTTAGATGGCAATGTCTAAGAAAACCGACTACGGTACCTTTCTCCTCGAAAAAGGGAGACTATCTATCCTGAACAGTTTCGACTGTGCAGTCCGTACCTGTATGCGTTTATCATGGCCTCCTCTCTCTGCTTCCTCCAGTCGCCCTCAGAGACCGGGTCGGCTCGGAAATGTTGGGTGAAGACCCTAGTCACGCCCTGACTCGCACTGTACAGGTCCACATTCGCCACAGCTTTTTCCACCTGGTGGTTACATGAAGAGACGAAGTCATTCTTACTCTTACTCGATTGCTTGTACCGGACACACCTCACTGAAACATAAAAACCTCCAGGGAGAGGAGAAACCGTTCTGTGTCGATCGGATGTCACGAAGATTTCACCAATAGACACAATATATCTAACGGAACGTCCGAACTTTGGAGAGACCCGAAGGAAGTATTTTAAATACACAAAATTACAAGATCTATAGCCGTGCTGTGAATAGTTGAGAATGAAACCAATTTGTGTTTCGTGAGCTCATATGACCTTATGCAGTAGCTAGCGCCGTGAAAGTCTTATAAAATCAACTAACATAATGTGGTTACAATTCTTCAAGGTGACGCACAGGGAGGACGAAGGAGGGGCCCACAGAAGAAGAGATGAGAGAATGGGCAGCCATGGAGCTGCGGGACACACTGAGGAAAGCAGAGAGCCGAGAGGAGTGTAGAAGATGTGTTGTCACCTGTCAGAGGCGACCCAACGAACGGTAAATCTACGAGAGCAGAAGGAGGTTACATACTTGTAGTCATCGACAGATTGTACGTTTTTAAGTGGGTTATGTTTGACAGTTTTTGTTGTTGTTTTGTTTTTTGTTTTTTGCTTTTTTTTTTTTACCTGTGAAGACACATCTTTAAAACTTCCACCGCCAGGCTTACTTATCAAGGGCTCAAGACAATCATAATAGATCATCTTTTTTTCGTTTTGTTTCCTTGTGTTTAAACGTAGGAGTTTTACGCCCTCCTCGATACAATTTAGATCATTAAGACAGGTGGGCTTCGACACTGCCAACCCGGGCTGGGAGGAATACAGCCTCCCAGCAGAAAGACAGAAATACTCTATAAAGATTCTACCTACAAGACTATAAGGGAATCAAAATCAGATTTCTTTGAGTTCGACGGCGAAGCGCCTAACCGCTACACAAAAGACGACGGTGCGGGAATTCGGTTTGTATGGGTAATTAATAATAATAATAGTAATCATCATCATCATCATCATCATCATCATCACCATCATCATCATCATCATCGCCATCACCAAGTGCCAGAACTGCAACAGACATCGGTGATCATGGTCTACCATTCTTCCCTTTGCTCGGGTATATTCAAAAAGCTAAAATTATCCTTATCTTTCCCAGTCACTCATCTTTGCTCTGCGTCCACCTCTTCCTCGATTGCCTTCAATTGTATCAATGACAACTAGATGTCAAAGGCCCCCACGTCTTTACAAGAGTGAGAGATTAATATGAAGAACTACACACAAGACCTACCTCGTCTTCAGGGAAAGAGTTGTTAGTCCGGAAGTAGCCATTGACCTGGAACGCACGCCATAGTATTTTGGCTAACTGGACAGTGGTCAGACAGTCCTGGTTGAACAGTCGCTGACTGTAGAGTCCGTAGTGATAGTCAATCATAATCCTCAGCTCGTCTTCCACGTGAGACTTGTGATGTAGTTTTCCTGGTAGATACAATAAATCTTTCAGTCACACCTCTGATCTTAGGGTAGGTTAGATCTATAAAACCCAGTCATCTCGGATAAAGGCAGAAAATCTTGGAGGT